CCAGTATGAAGGTTTTGTGCATCCTGCCCCTGACAGCCAAGCGTCACTACCTGAGCTCTGCTGGTCGGAGTCCTGACATCTCCTCGGGCCCTGGGGAGTGCAGGACCATGGCACAGTCTCCTACCTCAACGTCACTACAGAGGACAGCCAGCACCCCACACCCCCTGTTGGCGCGTCCCTTGTTGCCTTGGTGAAGAGCATCCTCTGGGCCTGGCCGGCAGCACAGTCAAGTGGTAGAGGCTCCCATCCCACGTACAACCGCCTCTCACACTCCGCCTCACGGGGTCTTCCTGGCTCTCATGATCCTCTGCAGAGGCAGGGGCAGCATCTCCCCCTGGCTCACCCCACCGGCTGTGCAGAGCCGTCTCCACAGTGCACGTGGCTCCCCAGTGTCCTTGTCAGGAAGTCAGATCCTGAGAGGTGAGAGCATTGTCCCAGATCCGCAAATTCAGTTCAGTTAGTTCAAGCCCCGTCCCCCACATTTCCCCCTGATGCTTGGTGACAAATGTGAGCTCCAACTAAGGGTAGGTCCATGAGAGGCCATGTATTTCCAGAGCAGGAACTTTATTTTCCCTCTTGGTCTAGGCTGGGACCTGGCCCTAGAAATCGGCCTCACAGAAAGGAGAGGAGATGGGGTGGACCTTAAGTAAAGCAGGCAACGTGCGGTAAGAATCCACCGGAGCATCTCTGACAAAGGGAAGGGCTGCTTCTCCACGCCCCAGAGGCCGGAGACATTCAGGCTTAAACCATCTGCCCAAATATCCCCAACCCAGGTCAGAAGACATACCCCCTGTGGAGGCCGAGTTTAGCAGAGAACCCTGCTCAGGGTGTCCCTTGTAACAGTGGAACAGTTAAACTTGAATTTCAGACAGACAAATAATATTTTAGCACAAGTATGCCCATGCAATATTTATTGTGATGTTCATTATTTATCTGAAATTCAAATTTGACTGGGTAGGCTGTGTGTCATCTGGAGATGCCACTTTTTGGAGTGATATTTGGGGTCTGGTGCTCCACACAGTCTGTTCCCCAGGGGTCAGGAGATGAGGATTTCTTTTTCCCCCGTACTGGGGATTGAACCCAGGGGTACTTGCCCACCACACCACATTCTCAGACCTTCTTATATTTTATTTTGAGACAGGGCCCTACTAAGTTGCTGAGGCTGACTTTTAACTTACAATCCTCCTGCCTCAGCCTCCTGAGCCACAGGATTACAGGCGTATGCCGCCACTCCTGGCAAGAGATGAGGATGTCTTAATCACTATTCTGGAGGCCTCCTGGCTTGTGGCCCACACTGAGGAGATAGACCTGCCTGAGCCCCTCATCCCTCTTCCCACGCCTGTGTGAAGTTCTTGTTATGTGAGTGAGTGATTTTAAATTTTTAAAATTGTAATCAAGTGTTTCCAAAGCCCTGAAATACAATTTGCAGTTTGATAATGAATTGCAGATAGGGTTTTAGCCAATTTTAAAGGTTAACTTTGGAAGGCTGGAGGAGAAAAGTAACTTTCCACTCAGTATGGAGGCACATACTGTGTTCCAGGAAGCAATCAGACTGGATTGGGTTTGTGGGGTCAGGCAACTGCAGATGGTGGCCCAGGAAGTTGATTGGGTTTGGGCTTCAGTGGTGGTGACGGGGAGGGAACTGACCCTGAAGGGCCAGCTTGAGCGAGGGGTCGGGGTCCGGGCAGGGGGCCACAGCTGTGTCTCTGGGTTGGTAAGGTGCCTTGGGATCTGGCCCTGGTGAGGGGTGGGCAGGGTGAGGTGCTGCTGGAATCTCGCTCCTGCTTCTGGGTTGGGCTCCAGTTGATGCTGACCACCACGCCCTGTGCTGGCATCAGACTGAGCTGAGAGAGTCTTGTGACATATTTCACTGTGGGGAGAGTCATTATCAAACTGCAAACATTCTGGAAAGTTCAAACAAGACATTAATGTGAAATATGAAGTGCAATTTACACCGTTGAAATTGAAATTAGGTCATTTCTGTGAATTATGGAAGTGGAGGGGTGGAAAGAATTGTTCCCGTAATGCCTACACTATCCATTGGGACTTGGGGTAGGAAGCTGCCGGCCACTTGCCACAGGGCAGCACACACTGAGGCTGACTGGCAGAGAACCACTGGCGGGCTCTGCCTGTGTGTTTCCAGGTCTGCCTGCAACAGCTTCTGTGCCCCTGACTGACCTGGCACCCAGAGCTGGTCACCAGTGCGAGGCCTGGGGCATAGTGGAGGTCCAGGCCCAGAGGCTCAGCCCTGCGTGTGAGTTGGAGCTCAGCTGTGCGCTTCAGCTTCCTGAAAGCCCCAACCCAGCCCATCCACAGAGGGTAAGCACCAGCTGATTGTGACCGTGTAGCTCGGGCCCCCAGCCTGCTGATACCATGAAATCAGGCCCTCACACTCACACAGCACTTGCTCAGCACACAGTAGGTCTTCCCTGAGGACCCATCCCCTGCTCTTCTCCTGTATGGACACGCAACTGAGATTTCTGGAGGCAGGCCTCCTGGACCGCAGCACGAATCTGTAATGTCCGCCCCATTCCTGAGCCCTTGATTTCTAATTAAGTTAATTAAACCATTTCAGAGGGCGCCCTGCTCACTGGCCATGTCTCACACAGGCCACAAGCCTGCGTGTCCTGATGGTTTCAGAAGGGCTTCACCTTCTCTGGTGACCCTGGGTGACCGGGGGTCCTCCCAACCCATTGTAGAAGGCATCTCCCTGTGTATTCAACCAAAGAGACAAGTAGGTGTTCTGCCACGGGAACATCAGGGCACAGACATTTGAAATAAAATTCAGCAAAGCTTCAAGCAGAAGGGGGAGTGTCCTGGCGCCAGCACACCCCTCCTGGACGGCGAGAGAGATGGTCTTGGATCAACCCAAGGAAGAGCAAGAGGCTGAGCTGAGTTGGGGTCGCTGTCTTAAAACACAGTGCCAACAAACCATAAGAGCAAAGAAAAAATGATGGCTGTGCAGACGGCTCAGGTCTCAGCCCTTCCTCCCTGAGTCCCACCTTCCCCCCCAGTCCCTTCCCCACGGAACCAGGAAAGTGCTGTGAGCTCAGTCCACCTGGGTGGGGAAGGGCAGAGTTCTGTTTGGAAAATGACCATCAGGCAAAGTCAGAATGAGCAGCAATATCAAAATACACTACCATGTGATCACGATTACCGAACAACGTGTTTTAAGCAAATATTTACTGGTACTTGCACTATGCCTCAAGCACTGCGCAGAGGGACAGCCAGGACAATATCACAGCCCCTGCCACCCTGACCCCAGAGCAGAGAACTGCAGGTGTTAACCAGAGAACCACACAGACATGGAACTGAGGGCGAGGCTCTGCAAGACCGAGACAAACAGGTGGTCCGACAGCAGGGATATTGCTTCAACAATTCAATTTTAGAATTGCCCTTAAAAATCACATACGACCTTCAACTCAGCAATTCCAATTTTAGGATTTTATAATGATAGATGCGTGCATGAACAATGACGTCTGTATCTGTACACTATGTCTACACCATCAATATCTATGTGTTCATGATACTCAGAATTGCCTGTAGTGATATTTGTGGCAGAATTATTTTAAAAGAACAAAAAAAATGAAAACCAATAGAAGACTGGTAAGTAATCATGGCAACCCATGCAATGGCTTCTCTGCAATTGTTAGAAAGGTGAATTGGATCTAGATCGAGATAGGTGTAAATAGTTCAAATGAATGGGCACTACAGTATTAAAAAAAAATTGCCCTTAAGAAACTTACATTTTCAATACCAACTTTTAAGGGTTAATTTTACAACCAATAGTAGTATAGGGTAAGGAAGTGAAAACCGGATCCCCTTGGGCTGTGGCATGGCGATTTAAGCATGTTCCACCTGTTTACGGGTTCACACAGCTGGGTGGGTGGTGGCAGGGAGTGTCCTGTCCTCACCTCCCAGGGCCTGAAGTGACCAGTTCACCTCCAGGGTGGCGGGCTCAGCAGGCAACTGATGCTCTAACTGGAAGGGCTTGGTGGCTTCTGAAAGCTTTGGGTTTGTCCAGTGCTATCAGAGGCTCCCTGAGGCTGGTTCCCGCTCTGCTAAGTGGAGACAGTAATTCCCTCACCCAGAACCTGTCCATTTATTTATATTCCATCCTATTTTGCAGATGTGGAAACTGAGTTGCCAAAGCAGTTCCTAGGGAAAGATCATTTTTAAAGGACAAGTGAGGGAGGGAGGTTAGGATTCTCTGACGCCCAGACCTGGAGGAAGAGGGTGAAACTCCCCTAAAGTCCACGGCAGTTCAGGAGGATAAGCTGGCCAACTGGGCTGGAGATGCCAATTTGGCTAGGGACCGACTGGGTTTGAAGTGCCCCTGAGCATCCAATCGCTGACCCTAGAGTCCAGAGCAGTGTTTTCGGGGCCAGCTCCAGGACATCCCGACTCCCTCAGTCCTCTCCGGATCTTGACTGGGCTGGGACAGGCCTACTGGCCCCCGCAGTTGGGGCCGGGTCTGTGGCAGGAAACCTTCAAGTGCAAGATGCCACTTACTAATTGGTGGGTCTGGGTAAGGCGCTTTTCTGAGCCTTTCTCCCTGCAGCGTTAGAAAGGGAGTTAATTCAAGGAGGTACCACGCACTCCCCGGGTACTCAGCAAGCTGGTGCCAGCACCCAGGCAATGTTGTCACAATTGTGCGCCACTCGCAGGTGTGGCTACCTCTTCGTCTCCCTGTCATCGTTTTTCCCCCCAAAACTAGCTTGTCAGGAGCTCCGCTGGGTCTTAGCCGGCGCCCCAGGTGCCCAGAGATCCGGGAGCGGGGCGGGGCGGGGCGGGGCGCGCAGCACGTGACCTAGGCGGGCGGCACCGGGGCAGGTCAGGAGCGCAGCGGCAGCCTGGCCCCCTGCACCCTGCTGGGTGCGCCTGGCCGACATCCTGGCTGAGGGATCCTCATCCTCACTCTCAGGATTCGGAGGAGCAGCTCCAAGGACCTGGCCGAGCGTCCCGGGGAAAGAGGCTGGTGAGTGCACCGAGAGAGGGAAAGTTGGACCTGGTGGGCTCCAGGACAGGGAGCCCAGGCTTAGGGAGAGTCAGGAGCCTGCGGCACCACAGCGTGAATACACCCCACCGCTTCCCTCCAGGCCCTGGCCCAAACCCCTGAAGAGCGCCAGCCCAGCCAGCGAACCCAGACCCCAGGCTTCTCCGGGATTCCTTGATCAGACTGACCTGAACCTCTGGGGAAGCCCATTTTGGGGAGAAAAAACAGTTGGTTTTAACCCTTGCAGTGCAGTGCAGGCTGGCTAAGGCTGCTGTCCCCCAAGAGACTCAAGCTGATCACCCAAGGTCCAGGGCCACCTGGGGACAGACTTCCTTTTGGGCTGCCCAGCTCAGTTTGGGGAAGGAAGGCCAAGGACCCTGGCATGGGAGGAGGCCTTCTGGCCCTCTTCTGGACTCTGAGAGCCGCAGGATTACGGAATCATCTTTTGCCGGCTGACAGGCTCCCTGGCCTCTCTTACCCCTCGTTGTGGAGAGATGAAGAGGATCTGTGGGCAGTGAGCACTGCGGGCATTATCCCCACTGGCCCCAAGACCCTCGGGATCAGAATGTCACTTGCAAACCCCAGAGATTTCACTGGCACCATTTCTGCAGACCTTAAGTGAGAACTGAACCCCCTTCTCTTTCTCCTGACACCTGGGCGCCTTTGCCCATGCTGCTTTTCTTGGGAAGTGATTGTTATCTCTCACAGATTTCCTTTGGAGGGGTGGGAATGGTAATGGGGGTCAAGACCCCCACTGGCACAGTAGGTGCAGAGGCTGGCACCGCCCAGAGCTGCGGACCACAGGCAGCTGGGCAGTCATGCTGGCCTCTCAGTTCTGAGGGCCCATCACTGCCGGGGTGCCCATCCCTCCATGGGGTCATGGGACCTCAGCAAAGCCAAGCCTTTCCTGGACAAGAGCCCTGACCCTGGCCATGTCTCCAGGCTCCTCGGGACCTATCCAGGAGGCATATGTGGCCAACCTTGCCCAGCCTCGGTGTCCATCCAAACAATGAGACAATGGCAGGTGCCCCTCAGGACCTGGGGCCAGTGCCAGGCACACCCACAGGGAGTCCATGGCTGTATTAAGGCATTAGTGACTGAAAACTTAAAAGCAGCCAAGTGTGTGCCTAGTGGGATGGGGGTGGTGAAGAGGTCCAGGAGCTGTAGGCTAATGGGAAAGTGACCTTGGTGCCCTTCAAGGATGACGCAGGGGTGGCCCAGATGTGCCCTGGGGAGCCTTCAGGGATGGCTGACTTCTGAAGAAGAGCCCACCTACCCTCCCACTGCCCCCACCCCATCATGGTTTCTCTTAATTTTGACATCCTAGCAGCACACTGGGCTAGAGGGCCAGAGAGGTCATGGAGCCTGACCATTGTCCACAGAACAGTTGAGAAAACTGAAACCCTGGAAGGAGAAGGAATCTGTCCCCAGTGGCAGGGAAGGCTGTGCCTGAGCGGGACCAGAGCCCAGCTGCCAGCCCTCTGCGGCTGTTCCTGGGTCTGGACTCGCTGCAGAGATGGGAGCGAAGGCTTTAGAGGTGCAGAACCTGTGTCTGTGGACAAGTGAGAAACTCTCAGAGAGCTGGGGAACAGAGAGAATGGACAGGGTGGGTGGGCAGCTGAGCTGCAGGACAGCCACCTGCATGAGCCATTCCAGAGCCTTGTGTTGGTGCCTGGTGCCCTGCAGGGCAGGGAGCAGCCCTCTGGGTGGAAACGTGCTCGTTTTGCTGCTGAGGAAGGCTGGGCTTCCATTCTAGCAGTGGGCATCAGGCCCTGCCCACAGAAGTGACCCCAGAGGCCAGCTGTGAGGACATAATTTGGGAGAGCTACAAAGGCTGAAGGCAGAGGGCACCACAGATGGCACCTCTGCCCACACCCATGTCAGCAGGAACACAGCCACACAACACACCTTGCCACTGGCTGTCAAGTGCCCTGCTATTGTTAGCCCGGCATTTAATGAGGGACTTTGACTTTCCAGTTTCTGTTTGCTTGGGTGGGTGCCCACTCAAAGTCAGTGTCCTCCAGTTCCTGGAGGCGACAAGCCCCAGAGTTGACTAAGCCAGGTCTTTGCTAGGAGAAACACCATTAGAGATTTCCCTTCGATTCGACCAAAATATGAATTGAAGCCTTTAGTGGATGGACATGACAAGCCCTTGACATTCAGTGATCTGAGTCCAGGCTGTGCGTTCCAGCTCCGCTCTCTCCTTCCTGCTGGTCTGTCTCCAGGTCACCTCCCTCTTCTGCACTCTGACCACTAAACCATTGGAGAAGACGGACGTCTCCAAGATTTGAAATAGGATTAACTCTGAGCAGTGCAGCACAAACACATTAAAAGTGTCTTGGTTCAGGAACCTCGTGACTAGGGGTTATCTGCACAGAAGCAGAACGAAACAGCCCGGCGGCGTCCCCGCTGCGCCAGCACACGCCCATCAGCCCTCCCTGCAGGGCAGCTCAGAGCAGCTCTGCACCACACAGGCCTAGCACCTCCCCGGCCGCCCGTGCCCCTTGACAGTTGTGGGTGATCGGGTGGTGGATACAGACCCAGGCCTTGGGGGCCACAGGGGAGCACAACCTGCTGAAGGCTGTGGGTAAGTCTGACTGTGGGGGTGGGGGATGCCCCTACCACACTCAAGTGACCTCAACCTGAGCTGGCCTGGGACAGGCAGAGGGGGCTTGCAATATGTCCCCCAAATGCCACCGACTTGGTTGTGCATTTTAAATGCTACGGTCGAACCTATTGTCCATCTGATTTTAGATTGCTCTCCAGAGATTGACTTTTTAAAGTGTCCAGCTGCTGCATGGCCCCAGTTCATCAAGGGGAGGACTTGGTGGATAAAGTTCCACCCTGCTGGGAACACTGGCTCTCAACCACTCTCTGTCCAGGAACTGTGCTTGAACAAGCAGGGCCCCTGTAGCAGGCACAGCCATCAGAGAAGCTTGCAGAGGCTCCCTGGCCTCCCGGCCTGCACCCCCCCCCCTCACGAGGGCACAAGGCCGGAGCTAAGAATTAGCACTAGAGCAAAACTTTCCAGGGGACTCCCTGCCTGAGAGGCGCCAACACACTGCTCTTGGCTTAGCTATGTGGGGTGTGTACTTTTCAAATTCTGAATGGAAATCGCACAGGTGTGATATAAACAGCACAGTGTGTATGTGTCCTTGAACTCAGGGCCACTGCTGGAGCCTCCAGTCATAGAGGCTGTTGCCCCCCCCCCCACGCTGGTTCACACCCACGTTCCAACATGCTGCTGCCCCCAGCCTTGCTCTAGGCCAATTCTGATGTCCTAGCACCAGCCTGGACCCTTCCCCTGCCCCATTCTGGCAGGGACCACTCAACACAGGTGTCCAGTCCCTCCCTAGCCCGAAGGCTCCCTGAGCCCTCTTACGCAGTTCCTGACTTCGACTTCATTGGTCTTTGTTATTTGGCTGAGAAATGGGTTTAAGTCCTCAAGAAAGACTTGCTGAGGTCGTACGCTGGGTTTCTGGCCTCTGGTCATCCACAACAGGCCTTTGGGGTCATCCTATGAGGAACAGGCATCAGATGAAAAGAAACAGGCTCCACGGGGACAGAGAGGACGGACCTCCTCAGTGTGCAGTGGGCAGCCCTGGGGGTCAGTTCTGAGGAGCTGTGACCTTGGCCTCCCTCTGAAAAAGGCAAGTTTGCAGGACAAGAAACATGCACTTTCTGTTTTTTCTTTTCTTTCCTTCCTCACACCTAAGGACATAAGCTTCTTATATCAAGGCCTGGAATTTTGACTTCTGCTTTAGGAGGAGAGAGAATAAGGACTCCTCATCTGAGGGTCACGCTGCTCATCCGTTCTGAAAATAGAATTTCAATGAATGCTCTCCTTATGATACTTTTTTTTTTCCCAAAAATGAATAAGCCCCAGTCATGCATCAGATAAGAACTATTTGTTCACTTCTAGAAGCCAGACACCATGTGTTCTGGGAGCATCAGGAATGCTGGCTTTCCACTGTGCACTTTTCTGTCTAGAATCTGAGTTCAACTGGCAATGTGAAGTTTGCCCCCGCCCACGGTGAGTTTCTCACAGTCGGCATGGAGCTTAGAAACCTTGTGGTGTGGTGGCAACAATTTTAAGAAATTATTTTCCACCAGTTTTAAGACACATTTTTTTCTAAAATATTTTGGTTGGCAGCCATGGACCTCTGAAAATTTTCATTTTAAATAATATATGCTAGACAATGTCGCTTTTCATGATTGACCTCTTGTGTGACCAAATCCAAGTACATTTCTGGCGCGAGGCAAATGCTTTTAAGGTTTTCTCAGAACTTTTGGCACGCGCGGTGGCGCTGGAGCCGGATGCTGGGCGAGATTCAAAGCAAGAGCTGGTCTCTGTGGGTCCCCAGCTCCCGCTGGAAGGGCACTGACTATGCGCCTTCTCAGATGTCCCAAGGAAATGGGTTTAAGTCCTCAAGAAAGGCTTGCTGAGTCACATGCTGGGTTTCTGGCCTCTGGTCATCCACAACAGGCCTTTGGGGTCATCCTAACGTGACCTTCCCTGGGACTCCCAAAGCCTGGAGCCCAGTTGGTCTGATGGTCACAGCAGAACCTCAGGTCGCAGGGCTCCCCTGCAAGTCTGCAGCGGAGTTCTGTGCTGGGGGCATGGAAAGCACCCACTGAGTGCCCAGCACAGACAGACACTGTCCCCACCGAGCTTAACAGTAACTTGTCTGGCACCACTGTTAGGAGAGACAGGGTGCATGGGGCAGGGGACAGTGAAGGAGTGGAGATGGCTGGGAAGCCTCTGAAGGGGAGTAGGAGGAGCTTTGCAGTGTCCCCAGGAGGGTCCTCCCTCCTCCCTCCACAGTGACGCCTCCAGTGTTATACCCAGTAGCAGTGTTGTCTGAAAAGCCAGCAGAGCACTGTCCTCTGCTCAGCCACCACTACTGCCACCCCTGGCCTGCCCCGTGCCCATGGCCCACCCCTTAGTCCACAGACCAAGGTCCTCTGTGGCTTGAGTGCATGGGTCTCCCCTGGAGCTTTGCCACCCGGAGGGGCCTGAGAACCAGCAGCACTGGCCAGCTCTATTGTGCAAACTGCCCAGGGACCTTGTCAAAATACAGAATCTGAGCCAGTCTGGCTGGGTGGGCCCCGAAACCTGCATTCCTAACACGCTCCCAGGGGATGCTGCAGGCTGCTGACCACACTTTGAATTGCAAACGAGTCTCTAATGTTCTGCTTATCTTGGTTTCTGACATTTGTATTTTCTTTTCTGTGTCTTTTTGACATTGATGGGGATCAGGTGTGGCAAATTTCAAAGTCTCAAGTTTGACTTTCCAGTTTGTGGGTCATCTAGACACAGAGCCCCAGCACAGTGAGGGGGACTGGGTTATCAGGCCCCTGAGGGCAGCAGCTGGCCATGGGTACGTGTAGGTAATCCTCACGAACACCAGGGCCCAGAGTTCCTGTGGGCCAGCCTCCCTCAGCTGACCTCTGTCAGCAGGCAACGCTGGCTGCCCTGGCCACCTGCCCAGGTGTCTGCCTCTCCCTTACCGGAGTCACTTCTGCCTCACCACGGAGTGCCTGTCGAATGTCCCCAACTCCAGCACAATGCACTCATGCGGGCATCATGCTGTGTGACCCCAGGAACCTCCCTACCACGTGACAAACCTTGGGGAACAAGCTTTCCTCAGCTCTGTCACTGGGATCCAAACACTGACTAGAATAGCTTAGAGGAGGGAGAGTGCATTGGGACAGTTGGGACCACAGACAGCCACCCCACTGCTCTGGGCCTGAGGCGGGGCAGCAGGTCCTGGCAGAAGGGCCCCCTGGGGGGAAGCTGCTCAGCTCAGACAGGAAACGGAGAGGGGACGGGCTGCAGGGAAGGTGCCCACTTGCAGGGCAGCCCCCACAGACCCACCTCCTCCAGCCACACCCACAGCTAACCACCCAGTCAGTCCATTCAGACTAGGATGGACTGATGGGGTCCAGGGCTCACAGTCTAAGCAACCTCTAATCCAGCCATAGAACCCCCCACGTCAGAGGACAGCGACCCTCACAGATGATGTGTATCTCCTTATGCTTCCTGCCTGGCCATCAGCCCCCACCCCCAGAGCCCGGGAGGATGTGGAGAAGGGACTCTCTCCCTGGGAAGCCTGGGGGCGGCATGGCAAAGCCCTCACCCAGCAAGGGAGCCGCGCCCCAGGATGGAGAAGCATGATGTTTGTCTCCCTGTGGGAAGAGAATATCAGTGGCTCTGCATGTGTCCCGTGTGGAAACTGTAAACAGGGGCTCCTTTAGATTTGGTAAACTGTGCAGGATTTATTAGATGACACCGATTTCCAGGCAGGAAACTGCGAGACACTCAGAGGAATCATTGCTGTCCCTCCTCTTACTCTAGGACTCGGTTGGTATCTGTAGGCTTCCTGGGGCTGACCAGTTGTGACCCTGTGACATTCCAGGTGTGACTCAGACAAGAGGCAGAGATGGGGAGAAAGCTGGACCTTTCCAAGCTCACGGATGAAGAGGCGGAGCACATCTGGGAGGTGGTGCAGCGGGACTTCGACCTCCGGAGGAGAGAAGACGAGAGACTAGAGTGAGTGTCGGTGTCTGGGCCACGAGCCCTGGTCCTCTGTCGTCCCTGAGTGCTGTCACTTGGCCACTCCTGGGTGGGTGCAAGGCAGAGGTGCAGGGTGAGGTGCATTGCACAGGAAGCTGTGATGTGGGAAATGGCTTTACTTTGGGGCCTCAGGCATCTGGCTTTTCGGTCTCCTCAGGGAGGAGTCAAGGGCAGCTCCCAGGTGGTGCGGGCTTCCCTGAGGGCACAGAGCTGAGGCCGACTCAGCTGGGAGGGCTCGGATGAAGCAGGTTCTGGAAAACCAGGAAGTGCTTTCGGGGAGCTGGAGTCAGGTGCCTACCGGGTACCAAGTGGAGGAGTGGGCGGGCGACTGGGCGCACACCCTGGGGAGCTGGAGAGCTCTACCATGCAGATGGCGCCATCGCTCCCTGGGGCTGCCAGAGAAGGACTCAGTATTTTCTGGAGGTCAGAAGCCTAAAAGCAGGATGTCCACAGAAGTGGTTCTGTCTGAAAAGCCACTTCCCGGCCTGTTCCAGGGTCCGGAAGGGCCTGGATTCCTTGACTGACTGCCCTTCCTCCTCTCCAAGTCCTCCAGCATGGCATGCCCTCGCCCACCTCCACTGTTCTCTCCCCCCCTCTTTCTTTCCTTTCTCTCTCTCTCTCCCTCCCCACCTGCCCTCCCTCTCTCCTCCCTCTTTCCTCTAAGGACATATGTGATTCCCACTTAGGGATTCCCATGCAGATATCCAAGAAAATCTTCATATCTCAAGATCCTTAATTTAATCACACCTGCAGAGTCCCTGTCACCTTGCAGAATGGCACCTGCAGCTTCTGGGGACTCAGATGTGGATGCTTTGGTGGGGGCCACTGCTCAACCTACTTCAGTACTGAAAGCTGGGGTGGGGGAGGAGTGCTGCAGGAAGCCACCAGGAGGGATTCAGAGGGAGTGAGGCCAGGGCACTTGACTTGAGCACACAGCTAACAGACAGACTGGGAAGGAGCTGCCAGGAGGGGAATCTGGTCCCAAATCACCAAAGGAAGACATCAGAGCTTAGCCCCACCCACGCAGGCCTTCATGGGGAAGGGACCTGGTCAGTGCCGCCCCTCAGAGCGATCCTGCTCCCCTTCCGCCCTGGGCTGCTTGTCCTCTCTGGGTTTGCATAGTTGTCCAGCTCCCAGGGCTGGCCTCTGGGGAGGGCCCATCCTGCTGTGCAGCCACGGGCCAGCCCAAGCCTGGTGCGCTGCAGGCCTGACCCCACTTCTCCAGCAGCCAAGAGACCCAGAGCTGCAGGCCCTGCCCTCTCTCCAAGGGCAGAACTGGGTCTTGGGGGCCTGCCCTTTTGCCTCCTCCCTCCAGCCTCTGCTGGCCCACTGTCCACAGTCTGAAGCCCTTCCTGTCTTTTCTATTTGGTCTATAGAAAGCTCAAATGTCCTCTGGATTTTTTAACCGTAGCACTGGCTCTCTGCCTCGGTCTCCAGGCTGTGCCAAAGGGAGGACTGAATGTCATCTCCGCCCACGGACACCCTGGCCTTTCCTCACGGGAAGAGCCGCCTTCCCAGAGGATGGCTCTTACCCCATCTGAGAGCAGGCCTGGCTCTTGTTGGCCTTTATTTTAAGTGGCAGCTTTTACCAGCGCATCCCCTGTCTGGGCAGAATGCAGGAGAAGGGGATCCTTGCTCTCCAGGGAGCAGCAGGAGGGAACCAGAGGAGTCCCAGGCAGGCACTGTGTCCCCAGGGACTCTGGTGAGGCCCTCCTCTCCTTCAGTGGTGGGTTATGCAAAGTGGTTTTGCAGAAATCCCACACTCTCGCATGCAGGCCACTCTGTCTGACATCAGTCTTTCCTGATTCCATGCTCCATTGGTCATTTCACACTGCAAAGAAGAGACACCCAGGTAACCTGTCGGTGCTCCTAGGGAAGGAGCCTGAGGACCCGTCTCCTGCTGAGCCAGCCGCAGACGGGTCTCTTTGCCATTGGCTCAGAATGAGCAGGTCAGGGCAGTGCAGTTAGTTGGCTGACTCTGCTGTCTTCTGGAGCCATGTGATTAGGGAATGGGCTTGTCAGCCACCCCAAATGCTATCACACCACAGAACATCGGTCAAGAACACTGAAGCCCCCGTGGCCCTTACCATTCAGATCCAGACCCAGCGGGTGATACCCTTGGTGGGTGAGAATCACACCAGCAGTGGAGGGTGTGGTGCCGGACCACCCGCGTTTCTTCCTCTTGGTTTTGTCTTAAATATGCCACAAAAGTAGAGCAGCCTCTGCCCCTGAGAAGCCCCCTTACACTTTCCAGCTGACCCCAGGAGTGGCAGGCCCGGAACCATGTTCACGAGGCGGGCAGATGGGCACCACCGATTCAGACCATGTGGCTTCAGTTCTGCACAGTCTGGGTCATGCTGACACTTGGACAGGGCACCCTTGAAACAGGCAGGAGCAAGACTGGCTTCTCACCACCCAAACTGGGTCTGCAGACCCAGCTGGCTAGAGCTGCACAAGTCTCTAATGACACTGAAGATCATTTTATTTTATTTTATTTTATTGAAGAGAGAGAGAATTTTTAATATTTATTTTTTAGTTTTCGGCGGACACAACATCTTTGGGTTTTTTTTGTATGTGGTGCTGAGGATCGAACCCGGGCTGCACGCATGCCAGGCGAGCGCACTACCGCTTGAGCCACATCCTCAGCCCTGAAGATCATTTTAAAATAACAAGCCCCCCACCCCCCGCAATCTGTCACCAGTGTTAACCTGCCACCTCACCGGGGTCAACACTGTCATCATGTCTCGCTGCCAGGTGCCCCATGCTCTGTGGCTCTTCCCTGGGTTCCCCTGGGGCCTCTGCCGTGCTCCCGGGTTCCTGATTCTTTAATCTCTGAATCACAGTGGACTGAGTGAGGACCCCGGTCCTCAGAGGACCCGGAGTAGGAAGAAACTTAGCGATTCAGGAAATGTCCAGCTGAGCTTTTGATGTATTTGACGTTCTCTAGAAGGGACAATGAACTCCTGGACCTGCCCAAAGAACCTGCCATGGCTGTTGGCAGAACAAAGATGGTGGGAAAGTTGTGACGTCGATTTGGTCGCACAACAAACCATCTGCCTCTGGGAAAGAGCCTAAGGGCTGTGACATGCATAGGGACTCACTGTGAGGGCCCAGGGACAGTCTGCCAGGGAGTCAGTGTGCCAAGAAGTCCCTTTGCCAGATAGACCAATTCAAAAGCAATCAACCAGAAAAAAAATGTTAATTTTCATATTTACAAAATTAGCAGAGATGAGTTAGGTGACTGCTCAGTGTCCCTCCCTCCCCTCATGTGAGTGTCCAGCTGTAGGGATGGGTGTCTGGTGGACTCTGGCAGTGATACCCACACCTGTCCCCGTGGTGTCAGGGCAGCGCACCTTTGATGGTCTCCTCTGTCAAAGCCAGTGACAAATGAGCTGGTCCAGATCCCTAATGTGCCAGAGGAGCAAAGGCCTTGTGGCTGTGAGACCTGGCACCCAGCATCCTATCCCCTTGGTGAGGCCTGTGCTCTCTCCAGACTGTTCTGACCCATTCCCCAGTAAAGCCCTCAGGGAGGACCTGTGGCCACCTGAGGTCACGTCCAGTAGTGGAAGGCCAGTCTAGCAGTGCTCTCCTGGCAACCCATGCACAGCCAGTCTTGCGGCTACACAGGCAACCTGGGCAGCCTTCTTCTGAAGGACGGGCAGGGATTCTCTGGGCTGCAGCTCCTGGGTGGTGGGTGCTGCCGGCTGAGCCCTGGGAAGAGCTCTGCTTGCAGCCGGCAGGGCGGCCGTCTTGCTTCAGAGCAGACCCAGGCAGGCGCCGTCCTAAGTGACTGGGGACCAGGGAGCCCTGCTTGCTGCACTGGGTGCCCCAGTATTCCTGCTCCCCAACAGCACACGGGACTGTGGGCCAAAGACTCAGAATGATCTCAGAGGTACAAAGCTGGGATGTTAAGGCCACTGGCATCAGGAGAATGATTTAGGGCAGAATCAACTTTGTCCCCTCTCCTGGCCCTCCAGTCCCGGGCAGGCGCCGTGATGAAAACATGTGTCTTCCTTGGGGGAACTTTGAGGAGACATGCAAGGGCCTCCCTGCCGAATGTGCTGACTGGCACCTGTGGCTCGGGGTGGGGAGAAGTCTCCAGTGGGGTGGGGGGAAGAGACCGAGTTCAAAGGGGCAGCTCCTCTCTCTGACAGTCTCAGCCTGTGCTCTCCTGCAAACCAGGAAATGTCCCCGGTTCACCCAGAGGAGGGACCAGCTGGATCCAAAGACCCAGCCCTGGGGAGCGGGCTTGACCATGGTGATGACGATGGCAGGGAGGACACCAGGAAGGCTGGTGGTAGGCCACACCCACCTCTGGAGCAGGCCACACCCACTTCTGGAGCAGGCGCCAGAAACGCTCCTTGGAAAGGGGACTCTGCGCTGTTGGAAAACGACTCTTTAGTCTTTCCTTTTTTGCATTTAGTTCAGGTCTCATGTCACAGGCATCCCCTGGGGACAGCATGAAGGTGAGAGGGTTTTAGGCGCAGCCTCCCCATGGAGGAACAGAGCACAGGGCCAAGGACGGGGCCTGCCCTCTGCAGGACTGTGTCCCCTAAGAGTCCAGCCAGCTCTGCAGAGGGGACACTTTGTTATAACAGTGTTGTCAGAGACTTCCTGTGGAGTCAGGAAAGGCCCCATTCCTGCCCACACTGGTTGCCACAGTGCCACGCGGCCCTTGCCTCTGGGCAGAGCTTTGGTGTAACAGGTCCTCTTTCAGGATGAAGGGACCCTCCACAGGGACCGTGCTGAACCACACAGGTACTTATATCCTAGTGTCATCAGACTCATCACAGATTCCCCAAGACGCAGGGCTCCACTGAGAAGGGAGAATGCACCCACACCCTTTGTCCCCACCATCCCAGTCCCTCCCCAAAAGCTTCAATGTGGGAAGAGACCCTGGTCTCTTCCCACATTGCCTCCTAGCAGCCCAGCCCACCCTGGGACCAGTGCAGAGAGCGGTGGGTCAAGGGCCAGCC